AGGAGACCTTTCCTGGTGCCATCCTCACATATGCATTGATTTAGGCACACGTTGTCTCTTCCATTAGAATGTAAGTCCCTGGAGGACAGGGAGCTGGTGCTGCTCTTGGTCTTTATCTCCAGCACTTAGCATGGCACCCTGTAGGTAACAGCTGTTTAATAAATGCTCACTGATGGGTTGCTACCATTCCCCAGGCTCACCATGGATGCTGGGGGTGGGGTTCCTTCATTTCTCTTGACATTGAGAAGACCACAATGGAACACAGAGACTTTCTCACACATTCCCCACCTGATCAGTGCATTTCTTTTGCTCCCACCCTTCTCCAGTGACATCCTCTACTCCACTTACCCATCCTATTTTCCCACTGGCCATTTGTTACAGTTTGCTCACTCTCATCACATGCTTTCCCATTGCCCTCTGGATGGTTCTCATTTTTCATCCTTCAGACACCGAAGCATCCTAGGCGAGTGACTTGAAGATTAATTGGCATCTACTCGCTAACTCTTGGTGCCCTATGGATCCCCCACAACTTGTATTCTTTAGGGATTTTGATTAGCCAAGATTCACAATGTGATAACATTGCTGGGAGGATATTAATGCTTAAAAGCCAGGCTTTGGTGCTGGGGAAAATTAGGGACCATTAGAGAGGCAGCTAGAGGCTGAAGCAGACAGAGCATGGGACCTGGGACCTGGGACCTGGACTCAGGAAGATCTATGAGTTCAAATCCTGCCTCAGTAACTTGCTAGCTGTAGAACCTTGACCAAGTCACTTAACCTCTGTCTACCTCAGTTTCTTCAACTGATAAATGGGGACAATAATAGCATCTATTTCCCAGGGCTGCTGTGAAAATCAAATGAGATAAGTATATAGTGCTTTGCAGATCTCAAAGTGCTATCTAAATTCATGATGATGATGATAGCACCGTGTAAAGTGTTCAGTGGAATCTAGTCCACTCTCTTCCTCCTACTCAACCGCGGGCCCAACTCCTGATCCATCTGCACTACCTATTTCAGACTTGTGTGTTTCTGTGCTAATTCAATGCACCCTCCTCCCTCTCTGGCATGGACAAGATATACATACAGCTATAGCTACAGCTATCTATGTATATCAGATCTATCAATACATAAAGATATATGTATATATCTATCAATAGATAGAAATATATATGTGTATACATGTCTACCAGTAGATAGATATATGCATATATGTAGCTATTGAAAGACAGACATGCATTTATATCTCTATCTATCTATCTATATCCCTTCCAACTCAAAACTCTGGGATCTTATAATCCTGTGATTGAACAATGAGGAAGTAGGCAGGTCAAGAAATAGCCCTATTTTACAGGTGAATCAACTGAGGCCCAGAGAAACTGTGGCTTGCCCAGTGCACATAATCTGCAACAAATTTTGTTTCTGAGCCTGACAACTGTAGCTACGATGTTCTGCTTAGATCACTGTCTCTCTTTGCTGATAGCATCTTATAGTCCATCATATGGACAAGACAGGCAATATAATAAGCCAAGTGACTCTGATGCCTACAGTTGGCATGCAACAAATATTTGTCGAGTTGAATTGCACTTAACCTTATACTCTGTTGGCTATAACTTTCCCTTTGGAACACAAATTCCTACCTCAATCTTACTCAAGGAGAAGTTTTAGAGGAGGTGATCATGGTGTTAAGGAAGGGACTATTTTCATTACATCCCACAGACAGGAGGTGAGGACAGGAAGGCAGAGGGAATAGAAAAAGGTTTCCCCACTTTCCCTCCTGAGATGGTCCTGAATTTTTTTTTTTGGAAAAGAAATGACGAAAGCATCCACCATAACCAGCTGCAGAAATGCATGGTGAAGCCAAAGAAAATGAGTCTGGAAAGGAATCTGCTTCTCGGGATTCTCCACGCCTCTGCTCCACCCTCCTAATTCTCAATTAGTGCAGATCATCCCAAGTTGACTGCAAGTGCATGAGGCGATTTTACCCCATAGAGTTCTGCAGAAATCATTTCATTATAATGAGTTCTGAAGCTATAAAACTCAACTGGCAACCTTGGTTTTTAAGATAACTGGAAAACATAACTCAGCGGGGGTGAACAAAGGCTCTGTTTATTAGCAAAGTGGCCACAGCCAGTTGGAGGGCTGTCTAGGTTTTTTTTTTTTTTATTAACCTCACATTTTTAATCTTTTCTGCCTTTCTTCCCTGTTTGGAAGAGTTATGTACTAAAAGTGCTGAGATAAAGTAATAGGAAGAAGGATGCCACCATAGGTACGGGAGAGAGAAGAAGTAATTTACAACATGTCTGGTTTGTTTTACTTTCAAAGCCTTCCGGTTACTCCAGGAAATTTGTCTCTTCTGGCAGCCTTCCTCCTGACTTTGGCCTGGAGAGCTCCCCCATAATTCCACGGGCCTAGGTAAACAGGAGTGAGACTCTAGGAAGGTGGGAGGAATACAGGATCTACTCAGCATGTCCCATTGGGTCTAGATGCAAAGGAAGACCTCAGTGCTTACTTATGAAAATTACCCCAACCTGAGGAAACTAAAAAAAGTGCTGATATTCCTCTTAGATAGACCCTCCCCTCCCAAGACTATTTCTAGAGGTAATTTACATGAGTGAACTGCTAAAAGCCTCCTACTCAATTAACTGTCCTCCTGGGAACAGATTCAGAGAATTGTGGGAACAACAAAAAGGTGTTCTTGGTGCCAAAGAGGGGATATGGCCTGATGGAAAATGCCCAGGCTGGACCATCTGGCAGCATAAATTACCCATCTCAAAGAGCTGGTGGAAGTTAATGACACCAAATTCACCATTACCATGTGCAACATCCTTGGGTTAGGTTTTAAAGGCCCCTCAGGCACTGTTTCAATTATGACTTTCCATTCGGAATATGGTCGAACGGAAATTTCTCCTCCTCCTCCCCCAATCCTGATTTCCATAACTGAAATTAAAATGAAAAGATGAGGTTGGAAGGGTAAGAACTGGGCCCATAGGATGGTAGGAGCATAGATTTAGACCTGGAAAGAACCTCAGAGAACGCTTGAGTCCAACCTCCTCCTTACACTGAGGAATGACCCTTTGGGCATCTCTACTGGAACAAAATGTACATCTACATGGGACCACAACAACCCTGGGAGGTAGGTGCTATAATTATCCCCATTTTACAGATGAGGAAACTGAGGCACAGAGAGATGAAGTGACTTGGCCAAATTTGAACCCAGGTCTTTCTGACTCCAAGTGAAGCATTGTTTCCACTGAGCCCCTCCCAGCTGCCTGATTATCACAATTATGACAATGTAGATGTATTTATCACCTTCAACAAGAAGTATGCATGCACTTGTGAAAGGGCAAATCCATATCTTTATTCCACTGAAGGAAAGAATGGATACAATTGCCATCAGGTTCGCCAAAGAGATCCAAGTCATCTTTTGGCCTATGACAGTTTTTCAGCAGCCTATAAAATTTTCATTAGCACTTAGCAAAGGTCATAGAGAAGACAGAGTCAATGTCATTGGAAGTTTGAAAGAAGAAAGTGCTAATGCCTTTCTTCAAGTTCTACTCATATTTACAAGCTCATAGATCATAGCTTCTTTCAAATAAGGCTAAGTTGGTTTCAGCTAGAGACTTGTGGTCCAATGCTAACCTGTATGGTGGGCATCCACTATGGATTGGTCTGGTCAAATATATGACCCTGGTGAAGGGGGTAGAGCTGGAGAGTGGAAGTGAATTAAGACCCCATACCCTCAGCTATGGTTAATCACTTTTGCAAATAACATAAAGTGCACAGAAGGGAATAAGGCTAAATAATCAGACAAGGTCTTCCATTTGACCAACTGTCAGCTAAGTTAAGGTTCATAGATAGTCTAAAAAATCTGGATCACCTTCCTGTCACCATGACTGCAGAAGCAAACGGGGGGCACCGAGGAAGGGGGATCGTCTGGTTTTGTTTTTTGTTTTATTCACTACCCTGGCTACAGAGTTCATTACCAAGTAGCCGTCCTACCAGCGATGAGCCTCTCCGTACGTAGGCTGGTCCTTGGAAAACTGATTCAGCCTTTTGCTGGGACCATTCTTGACTTCTTTACAATAGAAGCATGTAAGCTCCTTGAGGGCAGGCACTGTCTCTCGTCTTTGTCTTTACATCCTCAGTACATACAGTAGAGCCAGGCACATTACAGGCACCTAATAAATGCTTGAGGAATTGAACTGAATTAACTTACAGCGTGGTGGAAGGTATTTGTATAGCAGGTAACCTATCATAGTCAAGAAAGAGCTGGCTTTAATGTCAGGGAGACGGGTTCAAATCCCACCTTGACATGTACCAGGTGTGTGTTCTTGAGCAAGTCACTTACACTTCAGCACCCCAGGTAACTCTACCCCTAAAAGTTGCAGAGCAATTGTCAGTTAGCATTGGCAGAGGGAGTTTCCTCTCTGAGAGTTCCAAACTATGATAAACCCATAGGTTCCGACCAAAACACACAGAAAACCACAATTTCATCAACAATTAGGCCAAAGATTTCAAAGATCACAATGTACAAGAAATGGTTAAAAAAGGGGCAGGGGGAGTCCTATTTTCCAAGAATCCAAGCTATGCCTTCCAGTCCAAAGGGCTCATTCCTCCTTCCAACTCCCGATGGAAAATCAGACCATCAAGACCAAAAAGAAACCGCATTGGTTACACCTTAAGGAGCTAGTAGGCAGAACATCAGGACACTGGACAGCGACAACTGATAGGCCTTGAATGCCACACCATTAACTCCGCTGGGCCCTAGGACTTAACTGAGCTGTGGTGTCCCACAACTGGGCTGTCATGTTTTTAAAGGGGAGGTTTGCTCTCAAAGCATCCTGCCTTGGCTTTCCCCAACAGAACCCCAGATGGATAATGAGTGCCACGGGAATAGGAAGTGACCGCAGTGCCATTTTCCTGCCATGATACCCTCCCTCGGGTCCCCCTCCCAAACACAGCCCAAACTCAAGCCTGCAGTGCCAGCTTCTGACCACCTTTACCTGGCTCTACTTCATGCCATCCACTTGACTGGCTGCCACTGCCTGGGGAGCGTCCTTGGCTTGTATAAAAGGGCTCTTCACCAGGACTGTCCATTTCATCCTCCACAGATTTGAGGCGCTTTGTCGAGCTAGAAGAGTGAAGGGAGACATTTTAGAATGCAAAGCAATCATCTCTCCCCATTGAAAACCTCATTCCAGGCTTAAAAAGAAGAGATGGGAGGAAATAATTCCTGATTCACTCATTCAGTCATTCATCAAACATTTTCAAAATATCTACTATGGGCAAAGCCTCACGCAAGGCATTAAGAGTAATATATTGACACAATCCTCCACTAGTCAAAGAAAGCTATTAGGGTAATGCTAATAAAGGGAGGTGGGAGAGGGTCCTGAACCTCATTGAAGCTTCCCATTAGGGGAGAAAAGACAGGCATTCAATATGCATTTATTAAGTACCTATTATGTACCATTCTAAGAAAAGTTGAGGGGGATAGGAGAAAACAATCCCTGCCCTAAAGACGTTTATATTGGGGGAAGAGGGTGCTGACAGCAAGTACTCAGATAAATAAATACAACATAACTTTGGGTGGAAAGAGAAATGAAAATAGGCAGCTCTCTGGAGCCCTGAAGGAAGCTATGGTTTCTAACTAGTGGTGAGAAGCGACTGAGGGACAGTACATACAAACGCATGGAGGTGGGAAATGGCGGTGTCATGTGTGAAGAACAGCAAAAACGCTATTTTGGCGGGACTACAGAATATGTGAAGGGGGTGGAGCAAGCAGGCTAGCCTGGCTGAAATGGAGAAAGCACGAGGGGGAAGAATGTGAAATCTGCCAGTAAACATAGATTGGAACCAGACTCTTGTGGGTTTGAAATTCAGACTAAGAAGTTTCTATAAATATGATCAACCAATCAACAATCAATAAGCATTTATTAAATGCAGAGTGTTTGGAAGACGCTGTTCCAGAATGACAGGAACATAAACACAAAAATGAACGTCCCTGCCTTCATGGAGGCTATACGATGAGTCATAAGAGATATGAAGCAAATAAGATATTAATTAAATGCCAGCTGTATGCAGAGGCAATGGAAGAAATACAAAGTTTAGATAAACATGGGCCCCTGCCCTCTTGAAATTAACAGATTAGTAGGGAGATAAGATGACATCATCAATAATACACAATATTACATGATATGTCAGTCAGAGAACTGTCCAAACCAAGCCCTAAGGTATATTTGTAAAAGGCCTTAGCATAGTGCCTGGTACATAGTAGGCATTTAATCATTGCTTATTTCCTTTCCTTTCCTTCCCATATGAAGTTTTAAGGGGAAGGGAAGGTCAGGGATATTTCCATGTTGGGAGGTCTCATTGAGAGAAGACTTAATCAGAGGATTCTTAGACCATATTAAATCTCAGTGATTCATTGTATCAATAGAAACATGGATGTTTCATAAATCAGGGCAAGGGGTTGGCTAGTATGCCATGGAAAGGTCAAAGATTCTGACAAGGGGATGTGGGAGAGAGACAAAGATAGGTTTTACCAAAGTCACAAATGTCCCAAGTCAAATTGGCGAACACTTAATCAGGATCAATGCTGATTGTGACTGGCTTTTTCTTGCATTTTAAAGGAGAGGCAATATGGCACGTGCCCCATTGCAGGCCCTACCCTAATGATTAAAATACCCATTAAAATAATGGCATAGAGTAGAGTCGCCATCTTCAGAGAAATGGTTCCATGGTATATCACACAAAGCACAACATCAAAGACCTCAGGCTGAAGGTAACCTTGAAGACAATGTTAGGGAAACATGGCCTTTGGAAGGCTTGCCCCTACTGGAAAGGTTCAAGGATAGGCCTGGTGACATTTAATCTCCTTTACAATTACATTCCAGTCTATCTTTCTAGACTGGTTTCGCATAACTCTCCTTCAGGAGCTCTGCCTTTCAGTCAAAATGCCCCACATTCCATCTACCACCCCTGAGCATTTGCCTAGGCTGTGCCTGGGATATACTCCTCCCTCACTGCTGCCTCTTGGAATTCTCCACTTGCCTCAAGGTTCAGATTGAGGGCCAAGCCCTACAGGATGCCTTTTCTAATCTTACACCCTCTGACATGGTCTAAGATCCAGTGACATTGGCCTTGTTGTCCTTCATCCCATGACACTCCTGACTCTGCATTATCACCGACTAGCTGTCCTTTGTGCCGAGGATGCTATCTCTCTGCTCATCTTGAGTCCCACCATCTATAGGAAGCCTTTCCCAATTCCCCTGAATGCTAGAGCCTTCCCTCTGAGATATCCCCAATTTATCTTGTATAATTTGTACATGGTTGCTTGATGTCTTCTCCCCTATTACACTCTGAGCACCTTGGAGGCAGGGGCAGTTTTTGCCTTTCTTGTATCTCCAGGGTTTAGCATGGAGCCTGGCACACAGTAAGGGTTCAATGAGTGTTGTGTTTACTTATATAAGTACATGGCACTTTCCGCAATAGAATGTTATTTGAAAGTAAATATTTTCATTTTTATCTTTGCATCCCTAGTACCTATCATAGTGCCTGGCACATAGTAGGTCCCAAAGGAATGTTTGTTGATGTGGACCTAAGTCAGGAGAGGTGCTTTTTCTCTCAAATACACTATAAATCTGATGGGAATTAAATCCAAAGGTTTCCCAACGACCACTCTCCATGCTACTGACATCTAAACAGCACTTTCAGGGTCTGCAAAGAGCTTTCCAGACATTATGTCCTTGGAGCGTCCTCACAACCTTGTGAGGTAGGCTAAAGGAATGGTTCTTTCCATTTCACAGACAAGGAAACGGAATCTAAGGGAACTCCAGTGATTTGTCCAGCCTCACACATCTGGCAGGGGATTTGAACCCAAATCTTTCTGACTTCAAGTCCAACATTCAAAGGGTTATGCAATCAAAGGTTCAGTGGTCACAAGAGAGGCCATCCAGTCCAATGCCCTTTATTTACAGCTGAGGAAACTGAGGCCTGGAGAATACAAGTGACTTGAGCAAGGTCACACAGGTAGTAAGTGAGAGAGACAAGATTTGAACCCAGGTCCTCTGGGTACAAATTCCGCATACTTTCCACGCTACCTCTCTTCTGTATTACTCTGTGAAAAGACTTTTGTTTGGGGCTGGGGAGACAAAGGTGAAAAATGTTTCAGTTCCTGTCCTCAAAAAAGCTTATAGTCAACTACAGGACAAGGGCTGTATTTCATCATTTCCCTCTGTCAGCAGTCTGGACAACAGCATCAGAGGCATGAATTAAGCGACTGATGGATGACCCTTTCTCTCTAAAACCCAGCTATTCTGGGCACTGATAATGCTGCTGCCTTTATGTATTTAAAGATTTTTTTTTTTTGGAGCCCAGCTAGAAGAGGCTAATGAGAAAAGAACAAACATATTACTGAGTTATTAACTAAGGAGGCTGTTTATAATTAGCTCCGTATCAGGGTTAGCTATTTGCAGAAGAACACAAAGACAGTGATCGGGCCTCTAAGTGACATTAATAACCTGCCTTTCGGCTCCTTAAGCCAAAACAGAAGACAACAGGGCAGAGCTGAGGCCTCGTCCTTGCACGTGAGCGCCACATATGCCGAACACATATGAAAAACAACCAGCGCGCTCACTTCGAGCTGACGACTTGTCTGCATCTAACAAGCTCGTTTTCGCCGAGCCCTGACCAAAGGACAGACCTTCCCTCCCGTCGGAGAGCGCTCACCGTCCTCAAGCTCACGGCCAAATGAACACATTCACCATCTTGTTATTGCGATAGGGGACAACAAAGATACAACAGACCCGCCCCCAGCCCCCCCGAAACATTGAATTTGACCTGTGCTTTCGGGCAGTTTGTTTGTTCTGGATAACTGGCATTTTCAATAGCTGAGAATGCGAGGCATCAGCTGGGGAGGCGGGTGTCGTCACGCTCAACCTTCCCTCTTCCCTTCTCCAGTAAGATGGAAATCTACAAGGGCAGCAGAACGGAGGGGACGCTTGGCTGTCAATTTCACTTCGGACATTGGCCCCAGAGGTGATGAGGCAAAATAAAAAAAACATGGGCTCGTGAATGGCAAAAAATATGCAAAGACAAGGTAAGGAACAGGATTCACCTCCGGTGCGGAAACAGTCCTGTGAGTCGCTATTCCCCTGAATCAGGCTGTTGAGAATTTAAAACTTTAGAGCCTCATCTTGGAAGGAGGAAACTTCTGTCCTGATTCTTTAGGGTTTATATAAATATAACCATATCTACATATACGGTTTTATAGGCAAACCCTTTAAAGGCAGGGACCGTTGGTCCTTCCGTTTTTGTATCCCCAGTGCCAAAAGAGCAGATATTAAATAAATGCTCGTTGAACTGAAATACACGGATGTCAAATTTCTTTCCGCGTGTCAACACGTTATCACAGACAATGTTCAAGTTTGTTTAGAAAATAATATTATCGTTGGTTTATTCTAGAGCTAGAGTTTCCTAGAGTGGATAGAGTGCGTGGCTTGGTTCAGGAAGACCTGCGTTCAAGCCCTTTCCCTGAGCTGACTCGCTATTTGACCCTGGGCTAGAAATTTAATCCCTCTGTGCTTCACACAATCAATATATTTCAGAATGATATGCTATCAAAGATTCTGATTTATTTTCCTGCAAAAATCTCCCTCTCCCACTGTTTCCTTTTTAATTTTAGCTGCATTGGTTTTGTTTGTGCAAAAAAAGATCTACTTTTATGTAATCACAGGAATTGGGTTCAAATTCCACCTCTGATGCTTATAACTTGTGTGACCATTAGCAAGTTACTTAACCTCAGTTTCCTCATCTGCAAATTTAATAGGTTAGACTAGATGGCCTCCAAGTTCTCTTCCACTTTAGATTTATGAATGACTCACAGCTGAGGGATGGAAGGGGTTCTTATTCTAGAATTTCTTCATTTCCATGAGAATTAAATAGCGGATCTTTCATTTGTTTGCTCGACCTCATTTCTTTGCCTCTGATGCAGACTACCTAGAGGCAGCACACTGACCTTAACACTCCTAGGAACTCTGATTTTATTAATGATGGTCCTTCCCACACCAATGCAAACTGGTACAAACTCTACAACTTGGTCGAGGGTCTTTGAATTCTCTTTTTTTTTTTTTTTGCTTTATCCTTCCCTGGTTTAGGCATCACAAATTGAGTTTGTTAGCACATTTCCTTTTTCCATATTTGAGAATAATTTGTGTAGTATTGATATTTCTTGTTATTTAAAGTTCGACAGAATACTCCCGTAAATCTGTCTGGACCAGGATCATTTCTACCTCTCATTTTGTGATTCCTATATATCTAGTTCAATTTCTATTTTTGTATTTGGATGAAGTCCTCTATGTTAGTCTGCTTATTTCGAAATTTTTTAGATGATCTTTTATTTAAAAAAATTCCTTTTTCCTTGTGTGTACCTATATATAGTAGGTTCTGATAGGTTCTTTTCTCTGCTGTGATTTTACCATGTTCATATAAAATTTTTTAAAATCTGATTTTACTCCATCTTCTTTTTACTCAGGTTGGCTAAAGGCTTATTGACCTTATTAATATTTACAAAACCCCCCAGCTTTTAGTGTTGCTTATCAGTTCTGTGTCTTTTTTGTTTTCAATTGCTTTATTTTTCCTCTAGTTTTCAAGATTTCTTCCGTGTGGGACTTGGATTCATTTGTTGGCTTTTAATGTTTTAATTGCATATTCAGTTCATTAGTCCCCTATTTTCTATTCTGTTAATGTATGTTGTAAGGGCTATAATTTTCCTCTCAAGATTGTCTTACATGCATTTCAGAAATTCTATTATTTTTTGTCTCATCACAGAGTTATTAATTGTCTCTATGCTTTATTCTTTACGCCATTCGTTATTCAAAATATTTTTGTCAAGTTTCCACGTTGGACTAAAATACTTTATTTGTGTTCTCTGTATGAATCGCTACTTTTACTGCATTATGGTTTGCATAAGACATTTACTATTTCATTTTTTATATTTATTTATAATTCATGCCTTTCACACATGGTCTATTTTTATAAAAGTATCACGTACTGTTGAGAAGTATGTATATTATTTAATGTTACCCTTCAAAAGACACCATAGGTCTTTGGGGTCCAAATTCTCCAACACTTAGTTCAGTTCTATATTTTCCCTTTTGTTTATCTAATACACGTGTCCAGATCTAAGGAAGGAACATTAAAGCTCTTACTATTATTCTGTTAACATCCATATCTTTTTTTGCAATTCAGTTAACTTTTCCTTTATGAATTTAGATGTTATAACATTTGATGAGTACACATTTAGTAATAAAATTGGTTCACTGCCTATCCTCTTTTAAACATATAAATCTTCATTATCTCTACTGACATTGTGAATTTTTGCTTTTGCTCTGTTTGACAGCATGATTGTAACTCTTGCTTTTTTGGATTCACCTGCTGAACAATTTTTGTTCGGGCCTCTCGTTTTGATTCTCTGTGTTTGTGTCTGCTTTTTCAATGTTTCTTGTATACAGCAGACTGCTGGGTTGGGTTTGGTTATCCATTCTGCCTTCTGTCTATTCTCTTTCCTTTTACTGGATGACCACGGCTGAAGAAATGTCTCACCCAGAAGTTCATCTGGTGATGAACCTTGTCTGAATATACACCGGTCTGGCAAAGACAGACAATAGCAGTATACCATTGGGTTTATCCTGGAAGCTTTTCAGCTTTGTAAGACCAGTCAGAACAGACGAATCCCCTGCACAGATTTTGAGAATTCTGGGCTCCTTCCATGCCATGGTGATGAGGCATTCCAGGAGGTCCATGCTAAAGGCCATCTTTCTTTGCAAAACACTTAAGTTTAATTGTGTCCTGGTGACCCTCGCTAATATACTGATTAGCATTACTTCTTTAATTAAGGCCTTGGATGCTGTGACTCACCATCTGACCTCTTGTTGCTAAACTATTCTCCTCAATTTCCAATACAATCCTATTTAACAATTCTGTGCTCATTTCCATTTTCTTGCTTTGTTTCAAACTGTTCTTGTCGGAAACGTCTTCCATGCTCTCTTCTCTCCAAACCCTACCCATCCTCTGGGCCCAGATGGAGCCTCTCTGCCTTCATGACCCCCTCCTTGAAAAGCCCAGGTCCAAATGAGTTCTCTCCTCATCCATATGCTCCTGTGGCATTTCTATCCTGGAGCCTGTAATGTTACACTTATTAATGTGCTTTCTCAGCACTCGCCTCTGAAATTATTTGGGTACCTCTGGGCAGGGTTTTTGGCTCTTTATACCTCTGCTTCCTCATCTGTCAAATGGGGATAATGCTTTTCATAGCACCTACCTCACAGGGCTGTTGTCAGGCTTGAATGAGACAGTGTCTGTCAAGCACTCACCAAACCTCAAAGCACTATACAGGAAGATGTCAGTGATTACTGTGGCTCTCTCTTTTTTGGGGTGGGGGTTAATGGCTCCCATTTCCTTTGAGTCCCCCCCCACCCTCAGTGCTTGGCACAGTTCTGAGCACACAGTAGGCACTATAGAGACACTGGATTAAAACAAAGATGGTTCCTGAACAAGAGGGTCACAGAATGGGCAGGCAGGGATGGGTCGTGATCTGCACTGTCGGAGGGACTGACCACAACAGTGAGGTCACAGAACCACCGGAGTAGGTGCGAAATCAAGCTATTTATATATGAAACGATGCCTCCTATACTCTTCTCGACAGGAAGTAGCTCACATGCAAGCAGACACAATGCAATAATAAAAATGATGCTGTGAGGATGATGAAAGGCGGCATGGAGGAGTGGACGGAGGACCAGCCGTAGAGTCAGAAAGAACTGGACGTGGGCCCAGCCTCTGACACTTACTGGGTGCATGACTCTGAACAAGGCTTTCAGACCAGAACGTGCAGATGACTGGCTGAGTGGTATCAGGGGAGGGAATTTCCACACTGGGAGTCCTCAATGCCCATGAAATCATAAGTCTGGTCCAACACCACAAGCAAGCACTACAATTCACAACCCCCCAATCCAAGTACCTGGTCGAGGATGTACTGGGTAAAGACCTCCTCATTGCTCCTGGGCTCATGCTGTAGTAGGAAGAACTTTCCAAATCGGAGAGAGAGAAATTGGGGCCAGTTCCTGCAGCTATCGGTGCTAGAAAATCAAAGGAAAAATCCATTAAGTCCTGGGAAGAAACATCAATAGAGATGGCCTAATTTAGCATGGGCTCCTATAGTATAACTGAAACAATAGGCAATACATATATATGTACATGTGTCAATTCAAACCCTCTTCTTCCTCTCAGGAATTTTTGTCTAGAACATGACCCTCGCTCCAATGTTTCGTTAACCCTGTGACTCCTGCTAAGTTCTTGCTTTCATGTAAGACTTGGTGCCATAACAAAGCCCCTCCACTACTTAGAACAGACTTCCTGTCTGTCATTATTTCAATTCATCCAGTGGACTTTTCATGCTTAGTCTAAGGCATTTGATTAATTGATTGAGAAATCTACTTATGATATCAAGGCTGCAATGAGAGAGGGTGTTCTTGATCCCACCTTTATATAACAAAAAGTAATTCCATTTATTTCAAGGTAAATAGGATCTTGATTTATGAATTTGCTTAATAATAATAATAATGGGCTTGGAAGGATGCTAAAGAGAGCCTTCTTCAGGGCGCCATCTTTTTTTCTCATGTACTTTTCAATTCCCACTACTGTTTCCAGCATTCCTGGGATGCCTTTCAGAAAACCACAGCCACCTTGGGTCTCAATACTTCTAGAACAAACCTAACACCTCACCCTCCTTCTCCCCCATATTGTTACCCAGCTACTTATAAAATTCTAAACTCAATTCGATCCCATAAGCATCTATTAAACACCTACTCCAGCATTCCAGCGTAATCTGCGCTTACAAAGACAAAAACAGAATTGTTCCTGCCCTCAAGGGGTTTCCACGTACACATGTCAACGAACACACAGCCAAGGAGATGTGAAGCAAGTGACAAATAACTGGGTGGGAGAGGAGGGGCTGCCAATGAGAGCAAACGGAACACTTGGGTAAAAGTGAGACAGGCTGAGAAGAGTGAATATGAAATTTATGTAAAAAAATATAAAGGGCTGTTTTGTTCTGTCTGTTTGTTTTTGCAAGGAGGGAGTAATGATAACTGGGGAAACAGCAAATGTTTTTTGTAGGAAGTGGTACCTCAGCTGAGCCCTGAAGAGAGCTAAGGGTTTCCAGGGGAAGCTGTAAGGTGGGAGGGTACTCCAGGCATCGGGGACAGCCCTGTGCAAAGGCATGGGGGGAGCAGATGAAAAGTGATCGACACCAGAAGCAGAGGGTGGGTCAGTCTGGCTGGAAAACAGAGCGTGCAACCCCTGGCCCATCCACTCATCTGTTCTCTGGAAATTATCAGGGAATCTCACACTTGGCAGGAAATCCAGATATCTTCTCATTGAATCTCTTCTTAAACTCAGCACTATTTATAGTCTTCATCTATTTGCACAAGAAATCTCTCAAGCCTGGAAGCTTTCCTCTTCCCCTGGGTTTGGAAACCTTATCTTCCTTCAAGGTGAAACTTCCCTTGGGCATTATCTCTTCATGACATCTTCCCTGATTGCCCCAGTAGGGATGGCTCATTCCCTCCACCAATATCCTTGCAACAACAAGTGATTGTGATGATTAACTAACATTTACATAACACAACATTTACACTTTAAGGTTTGCAAAGAGTTTTTCAGGTGTTATATCATTTATTCTCACAAAAAGCCTGGGAGCTCTTATGCTATACTTATCATTTCCATTTTACGGATGAGGCAACTGAGGTCCAGAGAAGGCCCCATGACTCCTAAGCCCAATTAAGCAGCACAGTCTGGAGTCACAACCTAGGTGACTCCAAGATTCGCATTCTTTCCATTGCACCAAGGATGATGTTCCTGGGTAAAAAGCTCTAAGAGAAACTAACATTTATGGTAGAGAAGATAATGGAGGCAATTGGGTGGTTCAGTGGGTAGAGCACTAGACTTAGAGTCAAGAAGACCTCAGTTCGAATGTATCCTCAGACACTCACTAGCATGTGTGGACCCTGGACAAACCACTTAATCTCTATTTGGCTCAGTTTCCTTAACTGTAAAATGGGGATGATAATAGCCTCTGCCTCACAGTGTTGTTGCTAGAATAAAATGAGATCATTTTTGGAAAGTGCTTAGCTCAGTGCTTGGCATATAGTAGCAGCTTAATAAATGCTTGCTTCCTTCTTAGTACCTCCTGGGGTTATTGTGATGATCAAATGAGATAATATTTATACAGTGCTTTGCAAACCTGAAAGCGCCACAGATTACTGCTTTTATTATTATTATTATTATTATTAAGCAAATTCATAAATCAAGATCCTATTTACCTTGAAATAAATGGAATTACTTTTTGTTATATAAAGGTGGGATCAAGAACACCCTCTCTCATTGCAGCCTTGATATCATAAGTAGATTTCTCAATCAATTAATCAAATGCCTTAGACTAAGCATGAAAAGTCCACTGGATGAATTGAAATAATGACAGACAGGAAGTCTGTTCTAAGTAGTGGAGGGGCTTTGTTATGGCACCAAGTCTTACATGAAAGCAAGAACTTAGCAGGAGTCACAGGGTTAACGAAACATTGGAGCGAGGGTCATGTTCTAGACAAAAATTCCTGAGAGGAAGAAGAGGGTTTGAATCGACACATGTACATATGTATGTATATATGTACGCACATGTCCATACACATACACAAACATATATTGCATATATATGTGTACACACCCACCTATTGAGGTGCATGCATGTGTAAAATATACATGCATGTGTATGTATGAGGGCAGCTAGGTGGCACTGTGGATAGAATGCCAGTGTGGAGTCAGGAAGACTCATCTTCCTGAGAACAAATCCAGACTCAGACTCTTACTAGCTGTGTGACCCTGGGCAAGTCACTCAACCCGTTTGCTTCCATTTCCTCATCTGCAAAATGGGGATAATAAATGCACCTACCTCCCACAGCTGTTGTAAAGGTCAAATGAGATAATATTTGTGAGTGTTACATTGTGTTGGGGGCAATATATAACATTTAAACAAATCAAGAAAAGTTCTGTTGAGGACAAGAGGGAGCTATGACCAGGAAAAAGTTTCTGCAGTTGATGCCTGAAGGAAGCTAAGGTTCTAAGAGAGCAAGTGTCCCAGGCATGGGGCAGCCCGTGCAAAGGAAGGGTAAGAGGCAGGCTCTGGAACAGAGGATTCAGACCACAGCAAGCTGGCCACGCTGGCTGGAACACAAAGCACATGAATTCTGGAGAGGCCCAAGGGCCTGGGCTTTGTTTGGTCGGCAGTGCAGGAGGAATCAGAGCCAGGTGGTCTCAGCCCAACATCAGACACTCTTTCACCTGGACTGGGATGCTCATTATTATACTATAGAAAAGTAAACAAAATGACCTCTTTTGTTATGAAATACTGAAAGGCATGACGGATGGGTTTGGGTTCCAATCCAGACCCTGCCACTCACCCGCTGTAGCAGGGTTACCCAATCCAATTTTCTTTAGGAATTCATCTTGGGAAACAAAACAGAAAACCATGGCTCCTTAGATCCCCAAACGGGATTATTGCTTTGAAATCGAAAGGGACTCAGGCTAAGTCTTTTCTCCTTTCTGAGTCTCTGTTTCCTCATCTAGAAAAGGGGACAATAATACTTATCCTGTCATAACCAGGGTGAGGGTCACTGGATCTCTTACTGGGCTCCACATCCAGTCATTTCCTCTCTCCAGGTCTCAGTTTACCTTTGTGAAAAATGGGGATAAGCATCTTTGCACTATTTCTGTCCCTGGAAGGATTGCTGTAAAAATCACTTAGTCTCTCTGTGCCCTAGGAAGCTCCCTAAGATGTCAAATTACAGAAGACTTACTGGTGGAGGGAGCTTCTACACTAGAAGTTTCCTACGTGGATGAAATCAGTGACTCAGACAAAAGCATAATTAAGATGGATAAGTACCAGGAATATAAGGAATCCAATTGGTATTAGAGAGATTAAGAAGTGACCGTCTTTTCTATGGCACTTTGAGATTTCCAAAATGTTTTCCTCACAACAAATCTGGACCTCAACTTCCTAAGCTGTAAAATGAAGAGCTCTATATCTATAAATCTGTGGAGTGGACTATAATTATATTAATATTATTAATTATAATTACATAATATGTATTATTAATTACAAATTATCTCCATTTTGGAGATGGTGAGAACTCGCCCACTGCCTAGGGGGCTGTAAATAGAGCCTGTATTCCGAGTGAGGTTTCCTGCCTCCAGGACCAGTGTGTTTTCACCATGTTTTGCTGCCTATCCTGCCTGAAGGCAGGGACCTCTCCTGTTTCCCACCAAAGGGCCTGGCAGAGGGCTGGATTGAATCATAAAAGAAAGAACAGTGACTTTGGGAGCTTCAGCCCTCAGGGCCACATCTCAGCTCTGAACTTACTCCCTCTGTGTGTCCTAACACTAAACCAGTGAACTAATTGGTCAATTAATTAATTAATTAATTAATTGTGGTTAATTATTGTGACTTCACCAATCCACAGTTCCATAATCCTTTACAGTTTACAAAGCCTCTTACTATTTCCAAAAGAGTTGGGAATAATTAGTCCAAGTTTTATCACCCCATTCTCCAGAAGAGTAAATGGGGTTCCGCTAATAAAGTGATTTGCCCATGTTTACACTGATACAAGTTAGAGACAGAATTTGAGTCTGTCTGGTTCCCCAATTCTACGACCCACTTCATGTTGCCTTTACTTGAAAATCTGTCAAACAACTGGAGGGGAGAGGAGGGTGATCAAAGAAGAGTTTTCTCCAAGGGATGGTGGTGGGGAGAAAGGGAGTTGATAGAATCCAGTGACACGGACTGATAGTAATCATAATGATAATAATAATTTGTAATTATTAAGCACCTACTACACACCAGGCACCGTACTAGGCACTTTATAATTATTACCTCATTTGACTCTCACAACTCTCGAGGTAGATGCTACCATTATCCCCATTTGAGGAAACTGAGACAAACAGAAGTTAAGTGACTAGCCCAAGGTCACACAGTTGGTCAGTGTCTGAGGTCACATTTGAACTCAGGTCTTCCTGACTCCAAGTCCAT